TTTTTTCTGACAAAAGTCACATGTTTATACATAGTTTTAATGTCTTCAAATATTTGGGTAATAAAAACATTTTCTGATTTTCTTTATCATCTTTTCTTTTGAACTATGAGCAGTAGTTAGATCATTATAAAATATATAAAAGGCAGATTTTAATTCTACTTTTCTGAGTATTCTAATAGTGGTTATTTTTATTAATTTTATATAATAAATTATGTTTGATAATTTAATATTTTGATAGTATAGTTAATTTGTATTGTTGTGTTTGACTAAAGGTGATAGGATAAATTTGAGTGGTCAAATAATTAAATAAATAGTTATATTGTTATTTTTTCATGGTTAAAAATTCAGCTATTTATCACACTATAAATACTTTTACTTTCACTTAATTTTTTTTATATTGTATCAGTTGTTGATTTAGTAAGAGAAGGAAAGAGATGTATTATCAATGTCATTAAGATAAAAGTATAATTACGCATAAAGATTTTCTTGTTGAGATTCTTCTCACCAAAGATCATTAGTTAAATATTCTGATTTCATATCTAGTTGTATTTTTCCTAAACCATTTTCAATAATACAGTTATGAATAATAGTTCTATACAATAAATTCTTTTGCATGCTTTACAATATGTATGAATATGGTGATTTTTAGTATCACATGAAAAAGTACACTAGGATCCTCCTTTGGTAATGGATTGTCTAGTAATTACCTATTTGATTTTTATATTTTCACAGTAAATTTCCTCTAATTCATCTTGAAAGGATTTATAACCAATGGTAGTAATTAAGATAGTATTAAAATATTGTCAAGATAATTCTTCTTTAAACCATTCATTATTTTCTTCAAATTTAGGAGAAAAAATATGTTATTTTATATTTTCTTCTGAATCTCTTATACTAATATTTTATTTTCATCATCTGCCACATCTGTTTTAGTAAGATTTATGATAAAACATTTGGCAGTTTTTTTCATCATATATACAGGATAATGTATTAGCATTTGCATTATATTTTTCAGCTCTATGCTCTATGATAAAATGATGTTATTGTAATTCTATAATCTATCTAGCATATCTTTCTTTTGGCATTTTTGAAGTTTTAACTATTTTAAAGTAGTATAATCAGTTATAATAGTGAATGATCGACTTAAATAATGATAAAAGTATTTTATTGATCAGACAATTGCCAAATATTCTAAATCAGTGATTGGATAGTTTTTTTCAGTTTTATTAGTTGACCTGCTAGTATATAATTACATATTCTTTTTTATCTTTCTTTTAAGACAACACAGTACCTAGATTTTCTTTGAGATATCAGTATACAAAGTAAAAGATATATCAAAATCTGGGTATTGTAAAATTAGTGCCTTAATAAGTCTTTCCTTTAGTCAATCAAAGGCATGTTATTGTTTTTCTTTATATTTAAAAGGCTGATCTTTCTTTAATAATAAGGTCAAAGGTAAAGATGGCGTTGCAACTAGTTGCAACCGGTGACAAATAAGCATCACAGGGTTGCAACTAGTTGCAACTGGTGACAAATAAGTATCATATGGTTGCAACTAGTTGCAGCGCCATCTTTAGTCAAAGGTTTAACATATTATGCTAAATATTTAATAAATTTTTGGTAATATCCAAACAATCTCAAAGCAGCACATATATCACAAAGTTAAAAAAATATTTAGCTTATATTTATAAACAGTATATTAAATAAGTATTGTCAAATGGTATTTATCATTTTATAAACACTCATTTATATTTAAACCAAATATTTATTTATTACTATATTATAGTATTAATAAAATACATATTATAATACTTTTTAAGTACTTTTTTAAAGTGTATTTGAAAATTACTTTAACTTAATATTTATCTATTACTATAATAATTAATATTAAATAAATATTTGAATTTATTATTAAAATAGTATTTAATTAACAAGTAATTAGTTAATAATATTCAATATATTTATTAACAAAGAAAATGTCTGATTTATTAAACTTTGGTATAATATATACTATATTCATGATTAAAGCAATAGGTATTAAACTATAGTGCTTAATATATTTAAGAATCGTGCATTTGTAAAAATAATGATAATGTATATCAGCCAAATATGCAAAATCATACTAATGAATAAGAGCAAGTTTAAATTTCTGTTTTAATTTTGGTAAAATGACTTGAAAAATAAGAAGGACCTAAAAAATACAATAAAAATGATACTATTATAATATAATAAAATTTACAATTTTAATTGATACATAATTTTACATAACATAAGCTGTTATCTGTCAAATAATTATCTTATTCTGAATTATCCATTTTAATACAAACATCTGAGAAAGCTGCTTTTCCATAATAATCAGGAGATACATAAATAATCAGTTTATAATCAATACTTAAGTATGCAAATTCAAATACTTTAATCTGAACTGTCTGTTTTTTATATCTTGTAGTTACCAATTTTTAATATCTTAAAAATAATTGTATATGCAATATTTAAGTTATTCAAAGCTATACATCTATAGAATATTTAAATTTGATATATTTACTAATTAGCATATAATTTGATAAATTATATGTTATGTTATTTTCTTAATAACCTTTTTTGATGTAATCTTATAACAAGAACTGTTATTAAACCGTGATTAAAACTTGAACACAAAAGACATAAAGATTTTTGATGAAATATCTTGAAAATTCAAAAAAAAATAAATTAAAATTATATAATATTGAAAATATAACAGAAAATATAATAATTACAATTTTCTGTATTTGTATATTTACATAACATTTATTTGTCATGAAGTATGATTGCTTAATATTAGTTTTATGTAATAGTTCGTATGTCTCACTTGTAAATCTATTAATAACTCCAAACTGATAAATTGATAGTATTAAATAATATCACTAGCTGTGTAACTTTAGTAAATTTAGGTTGAATGATAAAAATTTTGATATTAGCTTAATAAATAGGTCACTTTACGCAATAATTGATTTTTGTTAGAAAAGAGTTAGTTCAATTGTTTTAATTTTTTATTAAATCATTTGATATTAACGAACTTATCTCAAATTCATTAAGGTCAAATTTTGTATACTTGGATTGTCAGCTCTATATATACATATCAATCCATAATGAGAAAAGGTCACACAAATTCTTGTTAAGCTATTTGTCAGGTATTAAATCATCTAAGACAAATAATGTAATTCTCATTAAATCCTAGTATTCTGAAGCAGTTAACTATTTAAGTTTTTCAAATCTATTTTTGAAAATCTTAAGATTCAGATAATGAGAAATTTGAGAAAGATGTTTCTTAAAGATCCTTATTGAACCACTACTATATCTCAAATTTAAAAATTTAACAATTTAATCATAAATCGTTATTGGTATTAAAAAATTCCAAGATCTATATGATGTATACATATAGTATAGATATTAAAATATCTATATTAAATGATTTTTTGTTATAATTAACTACAAATGACATTTTGGTGATTGTTTAAACTAATATAATATTACTTATAGCCAATTTTACAAAGCATTTCTTATGTGATATACTGAGATTTTTTGCTATTACCCTAATGTAAAAAATACTTAGTTGCATTTTGTTATGAATTATCATGTTTTCTTTTTCAAGGTGAATATTGTTCATTGTATTATGGTCTACTAAGCAGAAATGATATGGATGTGAGAAGTTTAGTAATCTATATATAACACATATTATACATATTTTAGGCCAATCTGAAATTATAAGTGTCAGATATGGGTAGAACAACTTGAGACTATTATTGATATATAGATGAAAACCAGTATTACTTAAAACTCTAAATAGTCTAAATATAGCTACAAGTATATGATGAAAAAGGTTACGTGCTGCTGATCAAAATTAGGCTGATTATTTTCTAAAGTACTATAATAATAATACTCGAGATTGAAAATATAGCCAAGCAAAACTTTTGCATCAATTTTATTGCGGCAGGCCAAAGGAATATTTCTGATCATTATAAATATTGAGTATAATGATATTTGCCTAAATGATCATAAAGGATAGTATTTGCATATAGAATTATAGGTATAATATGTGTTCTAATTGGAAGATTTTGTTTTACATTTCTTTATCAATCAGAATCATATGTATCTGAGTACTGATACTGATCAGATACCTTTAATTGTAAAATCAAAAAAAATTAATATTTGTTATTAAAATAAATTTTTATTTAATTGTATTTACATCATTAATAAACTGTTTATATTCAAATATAACCTTATTGGCAATACTTTTATTTGTTAAAATTTAAAATATTCTGTCAAGTACAATTCTGAACTCAAGGACATATTTTAACTTTTTGTATTTGAAAATGATCTTCTTTCTTTAACTAAAATTTGGAAGCTTAAGATTTCAATAAATGCTCATCCAGTTTGTAATATTAATGGTAATAGACGATCATTCTGATTTGAATATCTGTTAAAGAATCTTATGAATGTATTTACAAGCGGATCTTATACATGAAATCATATTATCATATGCATAAATTCCATGTATTCTTTCAATAAAATTCTTAGTATATATCTCTAGTATTAATCTGCATTTCAGTGAATAAATCATTATATTCAACACTTTTGTTAGCATCAATGTCTGTCATATCTAATAGATCTAATATTATGTCTTTCTTGTTATACACGTTATTATTCTGAGAGTTACTTGTATAACTAAAAAATAGATCCTCAATGTCTTATCTTTCAATAGATTTGTTATTATTTTGAGGGTTACTTAAGTAACTAGAAAGTGGTATATCAGAGTCTGATTTTTTGACAAATTCATCTGCATCAAAGATAACTCTCTTCTGATTATTATATGAGCTTGTTCAAAGTATGCCCTTTTATAATTCACCTTTGTTCTTTTAGGCAAGTTTCTTCTTTCAGATATATTTTGATTATTAAGGATTCGTGTTGATGTTTCAATCAGATTTTGAGGAATTCTATGAATCAGCTGATTTAGTAAAGATATGTCTTCATCATTATCATCAAATATTTTTTCATATGATTACTTAATGTCTACTGGTTCTTAAAAATCTTATTACAAGAGGAATACTTCAGCATTTTAAATATATCTTTTACTATTAGATAATTTTTGAGGCTCACAATTGGTGATACATGAAGATAGATTATAAAATAAATATATAAATTTGTAAATAAAGTAAAAGACAAGAAAATATGATGTAATTAAACAATAATTTAGCTTTTTGTGTATATAAATGATTATATCCTGATGATTGATGTTAAATTTGAGTTTGTAATATATGAAATTAGGTGATTTTTAGATTAATTTAATTTGTTAAATTCCACAATCACATGAAATTATAATCAAACACTAAAAAAGCTTAAAGATAAGAATTCAGAACATAAAAATATATATATAAATTTGCTAATCTACTTTGAAATTAATCAAATAAACAAAATAAAAAGTCATATCACCTCTTTAATTGATTAGATAATATTATTTAAGTCAAATTTATACATTGATTTAAAATAACAAAGATTTCACGAAAAAAATTTAAATACATAATTATCATTACACAAACTTTGATTTTTGAGTTAACCATAAAATGGCTATATATAGAAATCAACATTTTAACATATATTATAATCTTTCTTTAGTTGTTCTTTTAATTTTAAGAAATGCAATGTTTTATTAGAATGTTTTTTTGAAAGTTCATGAATGTTAATGTTTGATATAAATATTTTGATAGTTTTAAAAATGTTCTTTAATTTTATATGTATAGATATAATTAGATTAACTTTGTATTGTTATTTTCTATATTTAATAATAATAAATTAATTCATTAATAAACTATAACATCATCCAAAATTAATTATGAGAAAATTTTACAATTGTTATTTATTCTTGATATAATAGTCACATGCAAATTTAATAATAGATTATTAATTAAACTTTTTCTTTTTTCTTTTATCTAACCCTTTCTTTTAATTATGAGACAATTAATAAGATAAGTAAATTTTACAACAATGCAAATTTGTATATTCATTTAAATTAATACTTATTTTTTTCTTCAAAAATATAGATTTTTTTATTAAATATAGATCATGCTAAAAAAAGAACATTATATGTTTTAGCATGCAAAAGTGCTCAGTATATTTTGCCTTATATTGATCTCTCAAAGAAACAAACAAACACCCTAAGCATCCTAAGTATCCTAAGCACCCTAAGTATCTTAAATAGTTCTACTACACAATTAGATTCAGACAAATGGATTGATAAAAATGTAGTTACAGAGATCCATTTAGATATACTTGATGATAATGATACTTTACTTGATTAAGAAGAATATCTTTCAAGTGATGATGAGAGTTTCATTAATGATTTTACTTCAAAAAATGAAATAGCCCGTTTTAATTTTAAACGAAAGTTTATAGATGCGAAAAACACAGATATAAATATACAAAAGAGGATTCATAAGTTTATTAAATATTTGTTATTTTCTAACAATAATCATATTATATTATTATTTATTCATATTTCTTCTAGGATTTGCTTTAACAATTAAAAATATACAAGATGTACAGCTTCAAATAATTACAATGATTCAAGATATGCAGAAAAAGATTGATGAAATATATGCAGATTGAAAAGCTATTGGTTTAAATAGTCATACAAAAGATGATACTAAATGGATTAAGGTGAGTAGTGTTAAATATTATTATTTTAATTTACCTATTAAAATACTAACTAGTCTATAATATTTTATGATAGGAAATTATTGATCAAGCAATTTATAGTATAACTAAGAAAGTTAAATACTTAAATGATAAATACTTTATGTAAGTGTATTATAATGCATTATTAGATACAAGAAAGAAAAATTTTCAAAGTAAAATAAAATATGGCAGATGAAAACATTTCTTCAATAAACACATTCATTCATTGGTAAGTAAATTTTAATAATTATTCTTAATGAATTATTTTATCTTATTCACTTTTTTAATAGACTTAACGATTCTCATACTAAACATGAAGTAATATTGTACAATACGTTAAAAATGCTATACATGCAAAATTTTTAGATTTTGTGAAGCCTAAAGCAGAAAATCAATAGGTTATGTATAATGAAAAATAAAAGTTTAAAGATACTAGTATTATATGTGAATGTTATATAAAATTAAACAAACCTGTTAATACTAATAACAACCTATATTACACTTGCTATAACCTAATAATTGACTGTATTTTTACAAACTTAAATACAGAAAAAAACTCTATTGCATTTGGAATGGCTATTGTCTTAAACTATCTTGATCTATCAAAAGAAATCAAAATAGTTTCAAATGATGTTATAAAATGAATAAATTACTTTTTTGAAAAAATGCAGGTTTCTAATTGCAAGATATTATGAATAAGGAAATTGTAAGTATTTTTACATTTTACTTTTTGTAATATTTATTTTATATTTATTTGTAAGTATTAATTTTGATATTTGATATTTTTATAATATAATAGAAGAGTTCATATTTAATCGAAATGAATAGGTTATTTATACTTTTTAAAAGTTATTTTTTTTATTAATTGAATTTGATTTCTTTCTTTAAAAGGTATATGAATTAATCATTTCTTCAAACATCTTACAAATTAATAATTAAAACTAAAAATACAATTATAATTAATTTACCTAATCAAGATTTAGTTATGAGATGCTTTAGTTGCAAAAAAAATCACGATCTTAATTATTGTATAATTTAATCTATGTATAATAAAAACTATTAATTAAATATATATTATAAATAATATTATTAATAAATGTATTATAAATACTTTATATAAACATCAAAATTATATTATATTATAATGCTAAAATATACATAATATTGGATAATTATGACAGAATGCTAATAATATTGAATATAAAGTTCGTTGAAACCTATTTAATAAGTATTTGAATAAATGCTTTTAGAGTAATTAATAAATGCTTAATGAATGCTTAATTATAGTTCATAATATAGTTGAGTTAAACTTTTTGGTTCTAGAAATTCTTCAATTTTCTTGATCTTTTCTAGATCAGGTTGAATTCCTTCTTGTCTTGCAATATGTTCTAAGAATGTTAACAAGGTTGACAAAAATAGTATTTCTTTAATTTTATTGTAAGATAAGCATTCTGAAAACTTATTTAATATGATTAATATGTAATTTAAAAGGTCTTTTTATGTAAATAATTATATTATCTAAGTAGACTGATACAAATAGTCCAAAAAAATCTTTAAGAATCTAATTCATAAGTCTTTAAAATATTTTAGATGTATTGTTTAATATAAAGGGCATGATTAAGAATTTCATATAATCCATTTATTGTGATAAATGCAGTTTTCTTAATATTATCAGGATGCATTGCTACTTACCAGTAAGGGCAGTAACATTTCTTATGTAATATCAGTTTAATATAGATACTAACCTCTCACCTTCAGGTAAGATATATATATTGGTTATGTGAATCATATTATATAAATTTTTAAATTAATCAATAATGAAACAAGAATATTTTATTATATTTTCTCGAAGTTTAAAAGAAGTGGCTTATTATTATATGCCCTTTTTACACATTTTTTTAGTATATATTAATTGCAGAAGGTTCTCTTCTTTAATATAAATTAGCTGTGAAGGCTGCGAGTAGGCTTGTTTTTTAATATATATTAATTGCAGGAGGTTTGCTCTTTAATATATATTAACTGTGGGAGGGCTATATTTTATACTTTTAATATATTTATTTTAATATATTTAGCTTGAGATTTTTAAAATATATAAATATAATAATGATAAAGCAAAAAATTAAAAGAATTAAAAACGCATTCATTTTTTTTTAAATATTAAACAATAAGTAATCAAACTTATTTTCTTAGCCTAAAATTTAATAAAAAACTGATTTATAAATCCCTAGTTAATAAATATTAGGAATTTACTAATGCATATATATATAATATTATAATCAAAATAAGAAAATAATGTTTCAAATCACATTATTATTTGTCAAGATGTAGCAAAAGAATGGAAGGATATTAAAACAAAGGTAGTTTAGAAATTGACGATATAATTAAAAACTATATGACCACTCCAATTAGCCTATATAATATACCTATTATGAAAATAACCTGTTCTATGCCTTCTATATCTACAATAGAACTAACTTCTCACTTCCTATCATTGATCTAGTTGAATCTATATAAGAAATTCCTATTAATACATCAGCTCAAAGAAAAGTAGCAGATAAAATTAAATTAGCTAAAATGAAACTTACTGAATTAGAACAAATATATAATATTACAACTGACAATCAAATTCGAAATAATTTATATATGAAAATAGAAGAAAATCAAACTGAAATTAATTTTAATAAGGATAAAATTAGCAAATTAAAAAAAATGTAGTATACACTGGCTTACAAAAAGTATTCAGATTTTTTTTTATTTATAAAATTTACATTAAAATTCATAATTTTTATGTACATATATAAATTTATTTCATACTTATTAATTGACAAATAAATTTTATTTTATTAAAATATAAATATAAAACTATTATACGAAAAATATTATAGCTAAAAAATTAATACTTAGTATGATCACCTTTGGCCTTGATTACAGTTTTAACCTGATTAGGCATATCCAAAATTAGGTGATAACATGTTTTAATAGTAATTTTTACTATTCCTCTTATACTGCCCTGATTAACTCCTGTTTAGACTTAGGCAAAGGTTTTCTTTTTTGAATCTGATAATCCAAATGATTCCACAGATTTTCGATGGGGTTTAGATCAGGGTTTTGTGCCACTAGTTTAAAATCAGAATATTATGTATTTTCATTCACCAAATGCTGTAATTTAAAGTATGACAAGGCGTTCTATCTTATTGAAAAATAGAGTTTGAGTAATTGTTAACCCATGGGATAAAATTATTGGCTAGAATATTTATATATTTATTAGAATCCATATTTCCTTCTACTACAACTAAAGGACTAACCTTATGCCAACCAAAACATCCCTAAAATATCACTGATCCTCCTTCAAACTTAACTGTTAGCTGAATGCAATCTTTATTATATGCTTCTTCAGGACTTCTCTATACTCTTACTTGACTGTTTGATTGAAAAAGAACGAATCTTGACTTATCTAACTATACCACTTGTTTCCATTTCTCTATCCAATTTTTTTTCTTTGCACTAATTTAAGCAATTAGTTCAATGTTTTGAAGTTAAATGAGGTTTTTTCGTGTAGCATAACTTTTAAGACCTTCATCATGAAGGTAACTTCTGACTGTATTATAGTATACAGTTGCATCAAGACTGGTATTTAGTTTATCTGTCACATTACCTAGAAAAGAAAACCAGTCAGTTCAGATAATACGTTTTAAAACTCAGGTATCACGTTCACTAAGTATTTTTAGTTATCCAAAACGTTGCTTGGGTTCTGAAGAACCAGTTTCTTTATATTCTTACAGTATTTGTCAGAATATTAAGCTGAGTAGAAATAACTCTTTACCTAATACTGCTAAAATATGCGCTGATAATTCATTTCTGGTGAATCTTTGAAACTTCATTTTCACATATTTAAACTAAAAAAAAGAGTTAAAAATAAATATTTTGTTACCACCTTTATTTATATACGTGATAGGAAGAAATGCTGATTTTAGTACAGTAACGCAAAATCACGTGATGAAAATCTGAATACTTTTTGTAAGTCAGTATATACTCAAAATTGTAAAAAAAAGCGTAAATTACTTACTGAAAATCAAGAGGTAATTTAATATAATAAACCTGGCTGTCCACCTCTACTTTTTGAATATTTGAACTTATATGATCAAATTCATGACTTAGTTAAATTCAGATCAGCTGATGCAAAAAGATGAAAAGAAGTGGTTAAAGTACGAATTATTGAAAACTTATGTAAGAATCTTAAGGAGAGATATAATATTTATATAGTACAAACAATATTAAATAATTATCTCTTACCTTACCAATCCAATTCTATTGTTGCAAAAGCATACTGTTATCTAACGTGAGTCACAGTAGCTGGAGTTTCATATACAGATATATGAGAACAAATTGACAGGTACTATTGTCTTGCATCTGTTAAGTATGTAAGATAATTTACTTCTATATTTACTAACACATCTGTTATTATTTCCTAAGATGATAAAGCAAAAGTAGGTTTTGGTGTGCCTATTGTAGATCAAACATTTCATATCTTACAATCAGTTAATAAACCTGTAAATGTATCTGATCATGATTTTTCTACTGGATATAGACAAAAATTAATTTCTTTAGTATATTTAATGATAACACTAAGTAAATTAAAAGATGATTTTTAAACAAGACAGCTTACGATTAATATTTATCCTCAATAGCCTATTGGTATATCTTCACTTACATATATAGAAGATCTTATAAATCTTACTATGAATCCTAAATAATATATTGAAAATAAATGAGCAAATTCAGCCTATTTGGATATTGTTAGTGAATGGAAGACCAGATGAAAATCCAAGATACAGAGGATTATCAAAAGTTTCTGAACGCTATTTTTGGAATGCGATTAATATATATAAAAGGTAATGTTTACATACATTTATGTTTGTTTATTTGTTTATTTTGCTTTAAATAACATTTTAACTTCAAATTTCCTTTCTTATTTTTGCAACTTACGGCTACAACTACAATAATGGAAAAATAATGAATTAACTGCGAAGTATTATAGTGCAATAATTTTTTATCGTAAAAATGGTTAAGGCAAAACAACAGTATATAAAACATTGAAAAGACATGCTGAAACTGGTTCTACTCACCCTTGCTGATCTTAAAAGGAATGTTAAAAATGAATGAAAATCGATTTCAAAATGTGTAATTAAAAATTTAGTTGATAATATATCAGCACGAATTCAAGCAGTGATTGTGGCAGAAGGTGGCCAATTATATATTAGTTTAATAATACAAAATGTAGCCTTTAATATTCATAAAATAAAGTTATAATAAAGATTTTTTATTGAGTTTTAAAAATTAAATGTTTTATATTGCATAAAAATTGTTCAGAAACTTTTGATAACCTTTGTATTTGAAGAACATAAAATCATATTGTCAGTTCTTTAAAAAGTTTGATTTAGATTACTTAAGTATAAGAACGCATGCTTTAGGACAATTAAAATACAACTTTATTGAAAAAGATATGGCAACATTATCTGACAAACTTGCTGGTATATCATTACTAATAGATCATTTTGACATTCATTTGAACTCGCAAGGTAAAATCACAGATTCAGAATTAGCTATTTTAAATTTCCAGTATACTAGAGAAGTCCTTTGTAATATTTGGAGCTGTGACTCAATTATTGAAAAATATGTGGATGTTCAATATATTGATACATTCACAAATCCATTTGAAAATATATATTTTGAGGTACAGAAAGAGAGAAAGTTGATGAATTAAAAAAGCAAGAAAAATAGAAACAAAAAAATACAAAAAAAAAAAATGACATATCCAAGTGTTTCATTCTATGATCTTAAATTAAGAATCATTGCAATCTGTGCATATATTCTATTGATATAAAATGATGTAAGGATATGAATTATTGTAATCTACCTAGAGCTAAAGAAGCAATGGACTTTCTCGAAGTCTATAATGGTTTTTTACCACTTATTACCAAAGCTAAAGATGGACATTTTATAAACCCAATCTATATATTCTAATATTATGACATTTTGAAAATTTCAGGCTATAATGAACATTATCTATCTCTTAAAGAAATATACTCATGCCTTTGTTATCTCATTTGTGAAAAATACTTCTCTACTTTCACTTTTTTAACGAACTATAAAAAATAGTACATTCTACTACTCGAGGATGACCCAAGGTATAATCTAAGAGTCAATAACTTTTTCTTTTTATCTTTATAATGACTTATTAAAAAAATTGACTTAAGGGAATATAATTCAGATGGAGATTAAATTGATTAGCTGACCAATAGAAATGATTCGATCATTTAAATTTGATTATTAAATTAAATTTGGTTATTCAATCTAAAAAATTAAGCCACATCTAATCACGTGATATATATTTCTAAGTGTAATATAAGTCACCTATAAGACATCTCAGCTACCCCTACCTCCTAAAATATTATATAATATATGTCAGTACCCTAATCACTAGCTAAGTCAAGAGTAGTAAACCAATTTGCTTCATCTAATAAATCTAGCAAGTCATCGATTCTTGGTAATAGATATGTATCAATTTTTGTGATATTTATTTTTTGATAATTGATACATAATCTCTTCTCACTTTTTTGTTTTCTACAATTATAACAGGTGAGACCTATAAGCTATATAAAAATCAAATTATATCATTTGCTTCCATCTTTTTTTAATTTTTGATTCAGAAATCTAATATTTTTATAGTTTATTTAGTATAGTTTTTGAGCAATTGGCAGGACTATTCCAATATAGATATAATGTTTGATTTCTGTTATCTGTCTTATCTCTATTTGACTTCTTGTATAAATATCATAATATTCTTTAATAAAGATTCATAAAGGTTTGTTGTTAGTGATAATTCAAGATCTTAGTTATTTCAGATAAGTTGAATTAGTTTTAGCTGAGTATCTAGCAATTTCAATTAATATTCTCTTCAAATTGAATAGTAATAGTCAGTTAAGGAGTTAAATCCTAGTTTATCATCTAATTCTGATTCTTCAGATTCAACATCATCAAACAAATAAATAAGATATTTTTCTAAATATTCATCCTTATATTCATTACTTTTATACTGATCTTCAATTCCTTGAATTACAACTTTGGCTGTTTTCATGAAAGCAATAGAAATTTTCATAGTAATTCCATCTTATTTGATAGTGAAAATCGATTGTTTCTAGCTCATAGTGGCATTAATTATTCTGAGCCAATAATTTCTAAGTATAAGGATCTCATCTCTAGTAAACATGGATATCGAAACCTCTAGGAGCATTTCTGAAAGTTTTGGGTTTCAGTATATACGAATCGAAACTTGACCCATAACCAAAACTTCTACCGAATTCTGAAACCATTTCTGATATCTGAAACATATTCTGATTTTCCAAAATTTATTCTATAACCCTAAACTTCTACCAAATCCTGAAACTAAATTTTATTATAAATGATTGCTATACCCGATTATATAATAGCGATAATCTCTTTTTCATTTTGAAATGTCCGATAATAACGAAACTTTAACTTCAAAAAAATTAAAGTCCACCAATTCTAGTGGACGCACAAAAAAACCTATTTGGAGATTTTTTAAACAAGGGATGAATTATATAAAGGACATTATGTTGCAACATGTTTAGCATGTGACCAAACTTTTCAACCTGAAAAGACCGAAATAATGGAAAAACATATAATTAATTATTCAAAAGTAGACCATTCAATTCGTGAAACTGTCATATATATGGTAGAAACACGTGAAATATCTTCCCTTAATGCTACCAATCCTAAACGTAAAAAAAGTCAAGTTGAGAATGAATAAACAACTTTAGTCAAATTTTATGAAAATTCAGAATTAAGTAGAGAACGAAAAGATATTATTGATACAGCTCTTATTAAAGCTTTTGTATGTTGTAGCTTGCCATGGCATCTAATTGAACATCCATTTATCATTGAATTGCTCAAGCAACTTCGGCCAAATTATAATCCACCAGATCGAAAAACAATTATTAATACATTATTAACACAAGAAATTTTGCGAGTTAGTGTAAAATGCTATAAGATAT